CTAGAGTGAGCGGAGGCCGGCTTGAGTGAGCGGATATCGTCCTCTTTTGGAAGGCCAAACAAAGTAGTTTCGCTTTCACAACGAAACACACAGCTCTTCACGACATGGCGTCACTATGCACTCATGTGTCAACAACACTACAGCGAGAATAAAAGTTACGCCTTCTTTCTTTGCGTGAACATTTGGGCGGCGTTATGCAAATCTTCCCACAAAGTGACGTAGACATGTGGGGGCGTGATAGAACGAGCCGTTTTAGGGGGGCGTGGCTGACTCTTAACTTTTATAAAGAATATCTCTTTGGATTTGAGACTTTAGTCTTTGCAAATTTACAGATCTTCTTTATGCACCAAGAGCTTGTAACACTCCAAATAGAAAGGAAAAATTGAAATCGCATCATATGACCCCTTTAATATGACTTTGTTCATTTGTTAGGAATGATCTTTGCTTTGATACTTATTGATATTAAAACTAAATGTTTTAAACTAAAATTGATGTATTTATTTATCTAGTTTTTGTTTGTTTTAAGAAAATCACATTAAAAGTTTCTTGAACTTCTTTTTTATGTCACTTTTGTTAAAATATTATTAAATAAACAACTATATAAGTTACACAAAGTGCCATACACATAAACCATTTAAGAATTAACTGTCAAAATGATTTACAAAACAATTGCTGTCTAAACAAATACATTTTATGACAAAGTCAGACAAATAACAACTTTGTACATAACAATCTGACCATAACAAGCAACAGGGTCAGTGAAGAATGAAGTAGTTAAGAAAACAGAAAATATAAATATTTGCAAACCATATTTTTATTCTGCATTCTTTCTAATCAAGCTGTATTTCTTTATCAAATTATGCAAGATTTTGTGAAAATATTATTTATTGTGTGCATTTAGGATGCATAAAATCATTACTTCCCACCACAGAAAGAAATATAATTTGAAATGTGATGGAAATGACATTTGTTGATGATGGTTCGCAAAATAACTGCTGAGTCTGAGATGTTTTATTAGAGATTATTATTATTTGACAGCGTCAAAAGGGCTTAAAAGACCTATAACAAAAGAAACACCTATAGACAACATTCTCCCATGCAATAAATAATTATAAACACTTACCACCTTACAATTTCCCACACTTGCTTTGCTCTGCTTACAATCTGGTAACTCTCTTTTTTCTCATTCTGCTGGCGATTCTGCTTCAACTCTTTCTTTTTTTGTTTGAATTCATCCTATTTAGGTTTCTTCCCTTCAGAGCCTGTCAAAGAAAAAGTTATCGATTAATAAACCCCTGAAAAACCACAAAACTCCACGATACATAATACAAAACTACTCCAAAATAAGGCAATTCAGGAGATATTTGCACCTTCATCTTTTTTGCTTCCCGGGTGTTTTCTCTTCTTTGTGAACTGTCCATCTGCTGGTTTTCTGTAGAATTTCTGCGGCCCTCCATCTCCACCTGATTTTTTAAAACTCTTTCTTTTGTCTGTGTTGTGAGGTTTGAATGGTCGTTTGCCTGGTGGTTTTCCTAATAAAGGTAAACAGATATTAATGCTTTGTAAGCATATGTCAGTAAGCAGAGATTGTGTCAATACAGCCCTGCTGGATTGTGGGTTGTTTACAATCACACTGCAAACTTGAAAACGAAGTCAGGTTAGAGATCTTACTGCATAATATATATATATATATATATATATATATATATATATATATATATTTTCTTCCCGTCTCTAGGCGTGAATGACTTTTTCCTTGGTTTGGCCTCCATACTGGACTGCAAGTGGTTAATTACCGGTAACTTTGTTATATTATTGATTTAACAAATGTATATTGCAATTCTAGAAGCTGAAAAATTAAACGCATTCTTTCATTATAGAACCATGGCGAGAGGCTGTGTGCGTATGAAACCTTGCTAAGAACCAAGTAACGTTAATGACAATTTACGTTTCTATAGTGGCTTATAGATCATCTTAAAATTACTGGCAGGCATGTAGTCTAATAAATGTTACACATATAAAATATTTAAACATTTCTTGTCCAAAAAGAGAGGTAATTTCGGTGTTCTTCGACAAAACGATGAAACACATGTTCACACTTACCCATGTGTACAGACTTGACAGCATCTGAAGTCCACGCAAGCATCGTAAGGAACCGTTTGCGACAGTCTGTCGTAGCTGAACGCAAATGTAGCTTAAAAGTCACTTGCGTGTATTTTTTTACTATCTTTTAGTAATTTATTTTAAAATACCATTTAATTTAATTGAACATTTCAGTTGCTATAAAAGAGGTTAAGGTGTTTTTGTTAAGGTAAAATGTAAAAAAAACGAGAGGATGTCGGATTCGCGAATGAATCACTCCTTTGAGTCGGTTCTTTTGAATGAACACGTCAAACGGGTGATGATCCAGTATGAATCATTTACACAGACTGAACACACTTTTGGAGTGGTTTCTTACTCTACAGACAAAGGTGTAGTCTATATTAAAGTGTAGCTTTGTTTAATTAATTTTTGGATATGAGTAAAAATTGTAATGTATAGCCTATAGATCTTTCAAAATAAACATCATCTTTACAAAAAGCTTTACAAAAACTACTCACACACAATTATTAAGCAAGCTTAATACAATATAAGCAAAGCTAGTCATTATATGTGGCAAAGAATGAGGGATGAACATTTGAAATTAATTTATATACGATACAATTATATAAAAAACATTATATATAGGATACGTTAACAAAGAGCGTAAAATAGACATGAAGTAAGAACAAAATGCCAAAAATAAATAAATAATCAGCCAAAAACGGTGCACACCCAACACATGAAATACATAGCCTAAACAGCGAAATGTAATTTGTCTCTCACCGTGTTAAGAATCATATTATAGTACATGCATTAGCCTATTAAATCATAAACCAACTACTGCGATCCTACGGAAGTTCTAAGCGGCCATGCAATATTATTTTTTTTCCTTCTCGTTTTCTCGTTATAACGACTTAATTTTCTCGTGATATCGACATAACGGGAGTTGTTTTCTCGTTATAACGACTTAATTTTCTCGTGATCTCGACATAACGAGTTGTTTTCTCATTATAACGTAAGTCGTTATAACGAGAAAACAACTTTCGTTATGTCGAGATAACGAGAAAATTAAGTCGTTATAACGAGAAAACAAGAAGGAAAAAATATATATTGCATGGCCGCTTAGAACTTCCGTCCGATCCTGTGTGAAGAGAAGACACTCTCAGTCACGCAGTCTGAACCTATAATCTTCACAGTATCAAATCTCTCTCTGGAGTAAGAGCTCCATCTCCAGGTGAAGAACATCCCTGTGAAGACCACCTCCTCAGGTTTGGTCTTAGACCTAAAGGAACAAGAGTGCCATCTTCATGTTGTTTTGTACATTTCCAACCTATTCAGAGAGTTTAAATTATTTTGATAATTAATATTATCATTCTGATATGAGTTAGCAAATGTACAGATGTTCACTGATGCTCTTCTATTTATAGCCTTGATGTTGTATAAATTCATTCCATTTCATGAACATAATAGGCAATGTGCTTTAAATTTTGTGGATAACAGAAAAATCCATCAGCAACTCAGTTAAGGTGATATTTCATCAGTGAAAGAGGTTACCTGGATCTTTACATTTTATGACATCAGACTAACTTTCGTCAGCCAAACATAATAACCCCTAGACATAATAAAATAATATATTTCCTTGAAGTACATTTCAAATTAAATAATTTCAATAATTTAACACATTCACTCATTCATGCTCTCTGATGTTGGCTAATGGTCACATGACATGCAAGTAAACAGATAAAATACTACAAATATTAAAATGTAGACATACATTATTGTTGCAATGTCACGGGGTTGTTGCAAGAGATCAAGAGCGGATTGAACAACAGCAGTCTTCCTTTTATTTACAAAATACAAAATTAAGCAAAACAAAACAGCACTATAGTCACAGAGTAACACAATGGAGTCATAATACATCCAAACTTCAACACAGACGATTCATAGATTTCATGTGATGTCACACCCGCATAGAACACCATTGCAAAGAAAACACTTAACCTTTTAGCACATTGCATTCATATTTTGAGCTCATCTGCTCGTATATAAAGTATACATCATCAATATACTGAATTTGATCTTTTAATATCACTGTTTTAAATACATTAAGGCACTCGAAGTGGTTTTCACATTAAACGTTTTAATGTCCCACTGTTTGTAGTGATTGAAATACATGTTGTTCAAATATCTTTGTTTTAAATATTATCTAAATATTTGTGGATTGGAAAATAACAGAAAACTGAGAGGCATGTGCTGCAGTTCTGTGGATGTTTTGCCCTCCATGTCTTTGAGCCAGTCATGTGACTGAAATCAATGAATACCAAACAAAGAGCTGAACAGAACTGGGGCTGTAAATAGACAGGTTTGATGAGGAAACTAACAAGACACAGGTGAACATGATCAGTAATGATAGGGACACAATAGCACACATGAGCTGTGTCCCAATGTGAAGTGCACGGACTCCGAAATGCACATTTGAAGTGTGATTGCATCACAGCGTCACAACATAAGCTGTCCCAATTCAGGATGCACCCTCCGAAGACCGCATTCCAAGGCCGATTGCGTCACCGCGGCGCAACGAAGGCTGACGTATTTCGAAAGCAACTCCAAATGCACCCTCTGTTTCCCAGGAAAATGAAGTGTACATCTGATGGACACTGCGCACCCTACCATATCCCAGAATCACTTGCGCACAGATGACGATGGAATTTATATTCAGAAATTATTATATATTCAGTTTAACATCAGAAAAACAACATCAGTTTTGAGCCCAGCCCTGCCTCCATGTGTTCTGGGGTCTTCAGGAGGTGAATCTCTTGGTGAATGGCCAGCACCTCCTCAGCGACTCGGAAGACAATGCGGTGACAGTGGAACGAGGCATGTCAAACACTCTGGAGACCACTCTGTATGATGTACCACTGGCAGACAGAAGAGAAACACCAGGGTCTGGATTATGGCACCCCATCACTGTCGCCATTCACTTCTCAGAAGATCCAGCAGCTCTGTCAGGGCCTCCCTGCTCAGCCGAAAACCATTAAAAACCTGTCCAGCGATGCCACATTCAGCTTTATCCTGCAGCACAGGGTCTGGTCTGATTTAGGGAAAGAAAGAAAAGAGAAATTGTTTAGAGCTATGACAACGTAATTAGTAGAAGAAATATTGAGATACTTTAGTATACTACTTTTAGTAACTACTACCAATACCATATTGGGGAAAAGCTACTAGTCATATTTATAACCTTAGCTAAAGGGATAGTTCACCCAAAAATGAAAATTCCAAACCTGGAACAACT